TGGAGTTTAGGAGAAAAAAGGAATTGATGACATATTGTGAAACTCAATATCTTTTGTCCAGTGCACAATATGGCTTTCGCAGGGGTAGGTCGTATGCCAAAAAACTTGCTTCAGACGATGCAAAGCTGGACTAAGGCAATTGATGCAAAAGGCAATGTACATGCGGCCTACGTTGATTTCCGGAAGGCCTTTGACAGTGTTTCACACCAACGTCTCCTACACAAGCTGAGACTGATGGATATTGGAGGCAAAATTATTACGTGGATTGAAAATTTCCTCCCTGATCGTTCTCAAACCGTGTGTGTCTAGAACGACAACGATCAAGACCGACAGCCTTCGAGGGCAGAGTCCCTCAGGTGCAGTGCTCGGACCGACCCTTTTTCTCTCTGTTCGTTAATGATTGTGTACAGGAATTGGACTGTGAGTGTGCCATGTTTGCAGATGATTTAAATATAGAGAAGGTCATCTATAGTGCTGCCGATAAAGGTGACTTCCAGGAATATATTTGTCGACTGAACAACTAGTCACGCAGATGGCTCTTGTCTTTCAATTAGAAAAATGCCTCTGCTGCGTCTGGGAAATCGAAACGCCGCCCCTGATGTGCGATCCCACTACCTGAACGGAATCCTAATCCAGGAAGTAGAAATGCAGAAGGATCTCCGCATCTGGATGACAGACAACCTCAAACCTTCTACACAATGTTGTAAGGCCACTAAAACTGCAAATCCAATGTTGTATGCCATCAAACGGGCATTAAGGGTTTTTGACGAAGACAGTTTCTCGAAAACCTTCGGTACCTTCATAAGGCCACATCTTGAATACGCGACTCAACCCTGGAGACCGTGGATGTGGCAGGATGATAACGTAATCGAAAGGGCGCAGCGGCGGGCCACATTCGTAAGAGGCCAAGATGTACTACCATATGAGATCTGCCTAAAAAACCTTAATCTCTATACTCTGAGTTACAGGCAGTTACGCGGAGATTTGATACAAACCTTCAGCATCGTGCGTAGCTTCGACTACACTGTCAGGTATGAACACTTTTTCCAACTTGCCACTACAACAAATCTCCGGGGGCTTCCCTTCAAACTGTATAGGCTCCAAGGAAGATTGGATGTGAGGAAGTACTTTTTCTCTTAGCGGGTCGTTGACACGTGGAATAAGCTACCTGAGGTGATTTTTATGTCCCAATTTGTTGAAACATTCAAACGCCGAATTGATATACATATGCTGCAGCACAACATTAACTATATGACAAATCAGTCTTAAGAACCAATGCGCAACGTGACTGTCTACATTATCCTGACTGAAAATTTTTTAACATTGTTTCCAATTCTTGAGATTTTTAGATGACGAATAGGGAGTTCAAAGGCGGAAGCCTTTTTTCCCTCAAATATACTGCCTGACTGACGTCTCAGCATGGTCGTTAGCCCATGGTTCTCTACTAAATAATTAGAAGTAATTCCAGCGCTTTTTTCAGATTGCGGCCCTCACACAGTAATAGGTTTATTTGTAGTAATTTATGTTAGGTGAGTGTTGGGCTTTAATAGATGATTATCCAGACGTCTCTTGAACACGTTCACAGTGGGTGGATGCACAACAGACTCTGGCAACGAGTTCCACTGTCGAATGACCTTTTGAAAGAAGAAGGATGCACGTTGGTTTGTGCGGCTCAGTTCCTTCTTCAACTGGCAGTCATGTCTTCTGAGGTTCCTTCTTGGGGCCATTTGAAAGAGATCCTCCTACTTGACATCCAGACCAGTTCCCCTTGGTAACTCAAACGTTGCTATAAAGTTACTTCTGTCTTGTCTATAATGGAGAGGAAAGAGATTTAAAGCAGTCAAACGTTGTCCGTATGTGAACTGCTTAAGTTCAGACATCACCGTAGTAAAACGTCTTTGGACACTTTCAAGAATCCCTATGTCTTTCTGAAGCCAAGGCGGCCAAGCCTGTATCGCATATTCCAGATGCGGCCGCACGAAAGTTCCATATGCTTTGCCGGAGATATCTGTATTCAGGTTAAAAAACGTTCTTCTTATGGTGTTCACGACCGACATTGCTCTCGCTGCGGCTTTGGAGCACTGTGTGGTGACACTTAGGTCGTATTTAACAGGTACACCAAGGTCTCTTTGCACATTCATGGTTTCAAGTATTTGGTCTTCCAAGATATATTGTGGCGTGGGTGCATTTCTGCTATGTCTTGCTGATAACATGTGCATTACTACATATTTTTGGAGTTAAAGTCCATAGAGCAATTTTTGCTCCAAGAGTGCAGCCGGTCTACATCCTCTTGTAGTATTTTGGAGTACCTTTCTTCTTTTATCTCCCTCCAGAGTTTGAGATTGTCCGCAAAGAGTACTTTGTCAGATTTAACTTCTCGCACGATTTCATTAACGTAGATGGTGAAAAGGAGCGGCCCAAGAACTGACCCTTGTGGAATTCCGCTTCTGAAAGGTGTCCACTCTCAGTAGTAGCCACATGTAGTAACATTTTGACTACGGTCTCTAAGGGAATCTTCAATTCAGTTCAGGAGCTTCCCTGTTATCCCAAAGTTGGACAGCTTTCGGATGAGGAATAGATCAGGAATATTGACATACATAACCACGTACTCCCAATTGCAACCGACAAAACAACGATTGCGTGGTGCAATGATGGAGTACAACTTTCCATGATCAATGGTCGCGGGTGGAACCTCAGGTGAAGCACTACTTGGGGTTGCCTTTGTCGTTTACATTTCACT